TATCATGGTGTAGCGAAGATTCCTATAGACTTAATGAAGTCATAAAATTTTGTCTCGAATAAATAGAGTTTGAGAGGGAAAGTTTCGGAACATTGAAATAGTAATTAGAACTCATGGAATTAAAAAAAACCCCACATTAGATGATTATGTAATCAACTAACCGAAAATAGATTAATGATAATAAAGAGAGATATGAATTGAAATCAGTCAGTTATGTATGATGTAATTTAAACTTCAGAAAGAGTTGGAATAATGACGCAATAAATAAACAAGGAAATAAACGAATAAAAAGGGGGGTTATTGTTACCAGGGTAAAGAAAGATTTATTACTGTCTCTTTTTGTATACATTGATCTGGTTTTAGACGTTTGATTGCTATCGCTTCAGCAAATTTCAGAAGGTTCGAGCTTGATTGTTTATTAATCACCTTGAAGGACTTCAGTGTATCGATTCCGTGTCCTGTGTCAAGGAGATGTCTTGCGATGGCACTGTTGAATGCTTTCAATCCATTTGATGTTAAAATTTTCGGAATATGTTCTTTGAATCAGACGTAGGCTCTACTTTCTCTTCCACCAATGTAACTGTTTTGACAGATACATATAAATTTGTATACGCAGTTGGTGGTAGCATGAAAGAGTTACCTGTCGACCTTTGATTATGTCAAAGAACATGTTGTTTTGGACAGAACAATCAATTTAGCTGCAGGATAAGTTCTTGTCAATTCAGTTTTTAATCTCATGTTGATTGACCCTGTGACATTATAGCCTTTGAACTTGAGTTGAATAAGAATAGATTTCTTAATGTCTTTAGTTTCTTTGGGTTTCTTATCTTCACTTTATCCATATTTCTCAATTAATTTCAGTGGGTATCCGTTATTCCTTAAACACTTTTCAACATTCATAACTTTTTCTTCTAGTGTATCAGCAGTAAATATTTGTTCTGTTCTGTCAAAGTGTTTTGACAAGTGCCATTTTTGTAATTGATTAGACAAAAGCTACTGAATTTGAGATATCTATCAATTATAGTCTCCTACATTCACAGTCACCTTTGACTAGATCTTGTACAAATGTTGGTTCCTAGTTTGTGATGCGATGTGGTCCGTTTGGTTAGCACATAAACCTGGTATTTTTGAAATACATGATTCATATCACAGAGGCTGAGGTTGATGTTCTGGACTTAACAGGCAGGGCTAGGCAGGAAGTAGGACCTATAAAGACTCTAGATTGTTCGTACGTGTTTATGCGTCAATGGTCTGGTCCATAAATCACTGTTCTCTAATTAGCGGTATCATTCCGTTATATAATAATAGGGCACAAAGCTAAAAGTTATAACACTCTCAAAATGTCTAATAAGTTGACATGGCATTAGAATATCATAATAGTGACAATTGATAAGTAACTCACGTTGCTCATTGTTCAGTTGACAATGAATTTACAAAATATATGAGTAATGTTTAGTTACAAGATTTTCAATAAACCGTTTTCCTCAAACTGAACGGTTTCTCTATCTTTATATATATAACATTTATCTCACGGAACGGAAACTAGCCTACAGCTTATGAGTCACTCTTCTCATGATTTTGAACAATCTGCGAAGTATAACATAAGCCAGTAGTTTAAACACAATCCACCAAAAGTTGTAGAAACTATATGAACTTTTTTTAAAGATAGGAACAGATGTCGAGCCTATTCAAGAAGTTGAAATACCTCGATTGTCAGACTTATATACTGATTTATTTGTTTAAACACATGAATATTGGTACAAAGAAGCACCGAATACATACGCACCTCACAAGTCACTTGATTTTTGTATCGGCTGTGATACTGCCCGGGTGCCCAAACCGAACTAAGTGATTTTCTTAGGGGACAACACGGAGCCATTGTCTTAAAGGTCTGATCCACAAGGTAATGGAGTATCGTAAGGAGATGCAGTCTCATGATAGCTGTTGACCAATAATTGGTTAACATGTCATTTGTCCAACTCCGCTTGGAGCCCATCCGAGGCTACTGCCGGTCCCATGTCCGGATAAAGGAGGAGGTCGGAGCATCGGGTTAGCGACCCCATCCCGTAGAAAACTAACTCGCTAAAAAAACGCTAACCAGAAAAAATTATTCAAACCATTTAAACTCTTCCCTGGGAATTAGAAGCTCTTCATTTAGAAGAGTTATGACGCCTCGTGGTGAAAGCCGAGTTCCTTCGGAAGTTACGAGGCCGATGGCTCTTCTGACAACCAGAGCAAACATTTATTTAGGTACATGGAATGTTCGTACGATGTGGGACACAAGGAGAGCCTTCCAAATTGCTGCAGAAATGAGGAGATACAACCTAGAGGTACTTGAGATCAGTGAAACACATTGGACGCAAGTTCGACAACAACGACTAAATTCAGGAGAGCTTCTGTTATACTCCGGCCATGAAGAAGAAAATGCCCCACATACACAAGGAGTTGCATTGATGCTGTCTAAACAAGCACAAAATACACTGATAGGATGGGAATCTCATGAACCAAGGATCATCTAAGCACCCTTCAAAACAAAGAAAAAAGGCATTACAATGAACATTACCCGATGCTATGAGCTTACCAACGACTACAATGAGGACTTTGAGAATCAATTCTACGACAGGCTGCAGTCAATCTTTGAGAAACGCCCAATAAAGAACTTGACCACTCTGATGGTTAGAATAGACAACAAGGGATATGAAGACATCATGGAACGACATGGACTGGAAGAAAGGAACGAAAATGGTGAAAGATTCGCAAACGCATATGCCCCCAATAAACTTGTCACAGGCGGCACCATATTCTCACATAAACGCATTCACAAAATCACATGACTTCACAGGATCACACTAGACAGAACCAAATCGACCATACCTGCATCCACAAAAAGTTCAGGAGGACGGTGGAGGACGTGAGAACCAAAAGAGGAGCTGATATAGCATCAGATCATCACCTGCTGGTCGTCAAGATGAAATTTAAACTCAAGAAGCACTGAACAAATGAGCGGACAATATCACAGAAGTTTAATACAGCTTTTCTTCGGGATACTGGCAATCTCAACAAATTCAAGTTAGCCCTCAGCAATAAGTTACAGGCCTTTCATGATCCACTCAATGCAGACAGGAAATACTATGTAGAGCAACTGGAAGTGGATCAAAGTGACAATCACTTCAACATGTCATGAAGTCCTAGGCCACAAGAGGCGCCATCACAAGGAATGGATCACAGTTGATACACTGGATAAGATTCGAGAAAGGAGGAACAAGAAAGCAGCAATCAATACCAGCCGAACATGAGCAGAGAAAGCCAAGGCTCAAGCTGAATACACAGAAGTAAACAAACAAGTGAAGAGGAGCATCAGAACCGACAAGCGTAAATATGTGGAAGGTTTAGCAACGACGGCGGAAAAGGCTGCAAGAGAAGGAAACATGAGACAACTGTATCACATAACAAAAAAAACTCTCTGGAAATCGCCGCAAACCTGAACGACCAGTGAAAAGCAAGGAAGGCGAGGTAATCACAAACACTGAACAGCAACAAAACAGGTGGGTAGAACACTTCAAAGAACTCTTGAATCAACCAGCCCCACTGAACCCACCCAACATCGAAGCAGCACCCACGGACCTCTCAATCGATGTTGACCCACCAACAATTGAAGAAATCAGCATGGCCATCAGACAAATCAAGAGTGGCAAGGCAGCAAGACCGGATAACATTCCAGTAGAGGCATCGAAATCAGACGTAGTGGTAAGTGCAAGGATACTCCACATTTTCTGTAAAAAGATTTGGGATGAGGAACAAGTACCAAAAGACTGGAAAGAAGGACTTCTGATCAAAATACCAAAGAAGGGCGATCTCAGCAAGTGCGATAACTACAGGGGTATCACTCTTCTCTCAATACCGGGAAAAGTCTTCAACAGAGTATTATTAAACAGAATGAAGGACTGCGTAGACGGCCAACTTCGAGACCAACAGGCAGGATTCCGTAAGGATAGATCGTGTACAGACCAAATCGCAACTCTATGGATCATTGTGGAATAATCAATTGAATGGAATTCATCACTCTACATCAACTTCATTGACTACGAAAAAGCATTTGATAGCGTGGACAGAACAACACTAAGTAAGTAAGTAAGTAAGTAAGTAAGTAAGTAAGTAAGTAAGTAAGTAAGTTAGTATACCATTTGTTCCTTCAGGATGTTAGAGTTCATGTACACCAATAGTTTAGAATCAAGGTTATTCAACTCCCCTAGTTGAACTCTTCGTATCTTCCAACCGTATTAAAGTGCTGGACATTCATTTTTCATCCTCTTAATTTCGTTAACAATACACCCTCCACGAGAAGGCAGTGATTGTAACTTCCCTGTCAGTGATTGTATTCACATAATCATATGAGATCATTTCCAAAAGAGAAAGAGTTAACTCTTTCCATTCTCGTCTATACTAGAACATTTGTGGTCAACCTTGTTATAAATGATGAATTCATCATTATTTATTTATTCAAAATGGTTTATACAAATATCTTCAATATGAAAATGTAAAAAAACAACAACACTAAATTGATAAACATTTTACAAATAAAAAAAATAAAGTCTGTATACCTAAAGAGAAAACTAAAACAAAAAAAAAACAGTTTTACACTTTAATCTTAATAATTCATATTCAAGTTCATTTTATGGTTTTATTGTTACCATGTAAACAACAACAACAACAACAACAACAAAACTATTGTACATTGAACTTTTTATTATTCTGCTAAATAGTTCAAGAGAAAACAAAAACAAAAACGAAAAAAACAAAAAAAAGAGAAAAAAACAACGAAAAAAAAATACAAAAAAATGATTCATGTATGATATGACTACTTATATGGATTTAAAGTTCATTACGTGGGTTGAATTGTATCCATGTTATTTTTGTTCATATTACTGATTTACTACCATTTTATTTAACTATAAATATAAATCATCATTGAATAGATTCATCAAGCATTATTGAATAGAATGTTACAATTTTCTATATTTCTCATTCATTATTTATTTATTGTATTAGTTCAATCAAAATTCAATTCAACTATTGAATATTTTGATGAAAATCTTAGTGATAATAAGAAATGGGCTATTTTAGTTGCTGGATCTAATGGGTTCGACAATTATAGACATCAAGTAAGTAAACATTATTGATTATAATAAGTAAAATTTATGATAGTTATAGTAACTATCCTATAATCAATTAACAATTATGATTCATTTTGAGTGAAGCTATTTTGATTCACTTACTTAATAAATAATATTTTCATAAGGGATTTTGTGGAGATTTTAGAACTCCCATTGATTGAAATCATGAGTCAATGGAAGCTAGAGCACCATGAAAAACCCGGGAGCATTGGACCTCCTCAACAGTGCACATTCACCATCCCACACCAAGCGTGATTTGAACTCAGGACTTATCAGTCTCGCGCCAGGCGCTTAAACAACTAGACCACTGAGCTGGCCGGGATCCGACGGTGTTAATGTTTAACTTCAGCTAATCCACTAATTTGCGCCACCGTCCACCATTGTCTTCAGTGAGTTGATATCACACAACAGGTCTGGTTGAACTCGACTGGTAACGGCTTCTCACTAGAACTCCAGGAGTATCTCTTGAAGTCAGTCACTAGTGAGCAAACAATTATTATCAGAATGGGTTTTGTGGATATTTTTAGAAATTTCACTGATTGAAATCTTGAGTTAATCGAAGCTAAACACTCGAATATCATTAAGTGACTGGTTATTTTTGTAATTTTTTTTTCAAATAAATTTTTTTAACCCTTTAAAAACTTTTTTTCATCCCATTTTCCAATATTTTTCTCATCCCGTTTTGTCCAATTAAATGGCTAGTTTTAAATTCGTTATAATTGGTTATTTATGTCTTAAAATTTTTATAAAATGTCAGTATTTGTCGACAGAGCACATTTTCATCCAATTATGGACAGTAGTAACGTGCAAAGCACAAGCTCTGTCGTTTCCCACGTTGTCACAGAAACCGACAACCTATTCTTGAGTACATTGTATCTCGTAGCGTTCCAATCTTTTGAAGCGTTGAAGAGCTCCATTAGAACTTATGAAAGAGCTACGTATTGCCATTATGAGGTGCGAGATTCTTATTTCCATAGAGATCGGAAGCTCTATATTAAATTCGTATGTTGGAGAAATGGCCGTAGAACACCTAGGCGTTCCTCACAGCCTAGTAGACGAAGGAGGTAATTCGATTAGTTCTATTATAATTTTTCATAAAGGACTTTCGTGAACACTCAATGTCCTTCCTTCATCTTTTGTAAGTTACCAACTAACAAAATAACGTTGAAATGGATGCAACGTTAAGCAATGACGAAGAAGAAATTGTTTCGATTAACTCAGAGGAGTTTACTGAACGAGACGTCGACAGTGACGAAAACGTGTATAACAACAGACTTTGTGATATTTGCAATCTTGTGCAACCGTCACTTGAAACTGCTGATGGAAGTGCCTAGAAAGTTCTGTACTAATGAATTATTGAAAGATTTTAAACCAGGTTTTTATTTAATTGAAATGGGCACCCTATAACTCAATAAGATATTATGTAATTCACAGTACAAGAAAGATGGTAAAAATATACCACAACTAAAATTCTTCTACTTTAGTTTAAATATTTTTCAACTACCTAGATAACATCAATTGAAGTGTGTTACGTTTCCAGTTCACTTAACTGTGTCATCAAACAGAATTGATTGATTATAAAGAAGGTAACCCAATCACTGAGATTTAAGAGCAGTTAAATAGATAAGTAGAACATTTTTAAGAGCTTTTGAATAAATCAACCTGAGTTAACCCATTGGGCATCGGAGCAGCATATACAGACCTACCTACAAATGATACAAAATCAGTAATAGAAGAAACCAGAAAGTTCATTAAGCAAATCAGAAATGGAAAGGCCGCGGGACCGGACAGTGTACCATTTGAGGGACTGAAGTCAGATATAGAAGTGACTGCGAAGATGTACAATGTGGACTTCAGAAAGATTTCGAAGGAAGAACAAGTACTGACAGACTAGAAGTGGGGATGCTACAGAAAAGAGATTTTAAGTGTGAGAACTACAGAGCATAACACTAATATCAGCACCAGATAACGTTTTCAAATGTGTTGCCAAACTAAATGAAAGATGCAGCAGATGTCCATCGTTGAGATCAACAGGCTGGATTCCGTAAGTATGGTATACATACTAAATCGAGATACTATAGATCATTATTGAGCAATCAGTTGAATCGAATTTACCACTATACCTTAAATACATAGACTTTGAGTATGCGTTTGACAATGTGGATACGATGACCTTGTGAAATCTTATTTGATACCACAGTGTACCTGAGAAGATGAACAGCTTGCATGCAACTAGACAATTTGGACTTCATAGATGATCTTGATTTTTTGTCTCATAAGCATCAACAAATGCAGATCAAGACAAGCAGTTTAGCAGTAGCCTTTAGATCAGAAGGCCTCATTTAACACAAGGGGAAAACCAAGATTATCCAATACAACATGAAGAACATAATCACACTTGATGGATATACTATGGAAGAGGTGGAAAATTTCACGTACCTGAACAGTATCGTCAATGAACAAGGAGGATTTGATGCAGACGTAGTAACAACGATTGCCAAATTAAGGGCGGCATTCCCACAGTTGAAGAACACATGCAACTGAAAACAACCGTCAACCAATATCAGTCAAAATCTTTAATATGAACCTCAAGACAATTCTGTTATATGGAGCTGAAACTTGGAGAACTACCACAACCATTATTAAACATGTACAAGTATTTATAAACAGTTGTCTACGTAACATACTCAATGTTTGTTTGCCGGATACCATCAGTAACAGCTTTCTGTGATAGAGAATAGATCAACTTCCATCTGAAGTGGAATTAGGAAAAGTTTCTTAAGGTGGTGAGTGAGACATAAGTAAGTAAACAAGCAAACCACATTTTCTTCAGTAGTCGATACTCAATAATAAGGTATATATACATACATAAGTTGCTTATTAAATGATATTCTTTTTACAAATATAGGCAGATGTCTGTCATGCTTACCATGTATTACGTTCAAAGGGTATAAAACCTGAACATATTATCACAATGATGTATGATGATATCGCTCATAATAAGATGTAAGTAATACATAAATATTTTTGTTATGTATAAATTAGTGTAGTTATTGACTAATTATTGAATAATTTGTATACTATAACTTATAATGAAGTGAACTAATTGACTAGAATCCACTTTCATTGTCAGTAATTGGTGCCTACTTACAACTGTTTAGATTGCAGATAAGTTTGATTCCCAATGATTGGATAAATATATATTGAAACATAATGCATTGAATTCACTTACCCTTTGATACCCATATGAAGTCACCGACAAGTGAACTGAGTGAGCCATGTTGGTAGGTGTAGACTACCTGGTTGGGGATCGCGAGATGATAGCAACCAATGGTTAGAGACCTTGAATGAAATGGCTCAAAATCGTTTGTAATGGTGCAGGTGAATCCACTCTTTGTGTTCTCCCAAATTCTAATCTTCTGAATTCTCCACATCCCTTTCCTTGTTCTGTTTCCAAATTTATTTCACTGGATTATACTCCTTGAATAACATCTTCAGACCCTAATTTTTCTGATTACAGCTTATAATTTCACTACATCTAGCACTACGGGATTTGAATCGACCGCTGCATCTCTGTGCTAATGTGGTGTGGCAAGTCGAACTGATGTATGCACATACAAAGTTCTACGTTGTTACTGACTGACTGATACCCAAACATTATTACAGGAAAATATTCAGGTCTCATGGTGAACACGTTGAAGGGTCTATGCTTCGTGATGAACATATTGTATACTTTGGATTTGGCACAGTTAGGTGGTACTTTGTTGAAAAAAACACCTTATACATACTCTATTGATAATACCAACTTGTTTCTATTGCAAGACAATATAATGTAGAATTTATTTTTAAAAATGTATATATGTGAAATATGAAGAGTAATCTAAACACGTCACATGTAGTGGTCCATTTTAATCACTTGTATTTCCATCATTAGGTTACAGATCTTAAAATCTGTTTCATATACCAAATTGTAGACAATTGAATCCTCGAAAGAGTCCTTGAACGACGAAATCACATACACATATTAAACTGAATAAAAAGTCGGAAGTTTTCATCTTTGATTCCTTGTGAGATCGTGAATGAGTGGGTGCATGAACATTATTTGAGAGTTGCTAAATGAGTTAAAACATCTGTTCATCATTTTGTGACTTCCAATCATCCTCTATCTGACGTCATTCTGTTGTGAATTATATCACTGAGAGGAAGTGTCCTTATGAAAATGAATGGAATTCAACTGAAGTGACACTCTGAATGTTTATATTCTCGAAAGTATCTAAATGCATCTCCAGTCAAATTTCTGTACGAAATCTAACCTTGTAAGTAACATGGTATTAGTCGACTGGAAACCTATCTAAAAGCCTCAAAACAATCTTCATAATGTCAATTCATTTCAACTAGTAGTTACACTATAACATGTCTGTTACAATGAAATCAAAATTTCAAACTGTAGACAAACATAACACTGGACGCTGTTCAATTATTAATTAACTATAAGTTTATCATATTATACCAATGTGCTAAATTGAAATCAAATAAACACAGGAAATAATTTTTGATGGAGTTTTGGAACTGGATGGTTTGGTCGTGGAGCTTCCATCGTTCTTCTTAACGACATCATCAACACAAACTCCAAATAGATATGAAGTGTTCGAATTTCTTCATATGTGGCTCATAGCTTGTCTTGTAGACCTCGATTTTGATTGATTCTTAGTGACCTTAAAATTGTAATTGTTTACTTCTTTGTTTTGGTTATGTCTTGCATTGGTTTGATTTTTGTTCCTATATTTGTGCACGATTTTTCTGATTGGTTGGTAAATTGGATTGATTTCAATATGCTTGTTTATTGCTGATTGAGCTGAGTGCCAGGTTTCTAAAAATTCCCTGGTGTTTTCGAAATTTCCTCTGTCCAAGATTTCCACATTTTTCCAAACCGAATGAGTGTCCGAAGTTGTCCACGTGTACTGATATAAATGAGGAAATATCATGGCGTTTGACTGCTAATTGATGTGGATGTAGGCGAAAATGAAGAGGGTGTCCACATTGTCCGATGTGGTGTTTTTATCAGTCGGCACAATTTATTTTGTAGATGATGTTTGATTTGTCTTCCTTTGTTATTTCATCCTTTAGTTTGCATAGGATTGATTGTAGTGATTTTGTCGGTTTGTATGCCACACCTTTCCCGAAGAATTTCAGCAGTACTCATCGCGGTTAAAAATTTGATCTGTATGGGTCGATCTCCTACACACTTGAGTTTCCAGTTTTCTTATGTCGGTTCTAATGATTAATATATCCAAGAACGGTAGTGTGTTGTTTGACTCCTGTTCCATTGTAAAGTTGATGTCACCATCCAGCTCAGAGACTAAAACTCCATCAAAATCATCCACCTGAGCTACAAATCTTCACCACCACAGGAAATAATCTTAAAAGTGTTCACCAAATATCTAAGACTAAGTGAGGGTTATAAATTAGTGTAAAGAATTCGAATAATGAATTACAGTTGATAGTTAGGGTTAGATATTAAATTTAGGGTTTTCACATCATGAATTGATATCAGCTATATAATGTCAAAACTCTATTTATCTGAATGAATGAGTGAATTTCGCGCCAAAATCTGACGCCTATTATCTTAAATCTGATTGGTTCATTCATGATTGATAGTCTCACCCTTTTCATTCCTATGAATTTATTAATTTAATGAAAGTTAGTTTATTCATGAGAATTAGTAAATGTTCTTTCTTTGAGTCTAATAAATTTTTTTAATGAAGGTAAAATCAATATCAATATCCATACAAACAATTGATATCATTCGATAAAGTATGATGTGTGTTATAGATGTCAACAGATATCAGTAGTATGTATCACCAATAGAAACTGAAATGCCTCAAGGCAAAAGGTTATGAAGATCGAATAAAAATGAAAGAGAAGAAAGAATGATTGCACAGATTGAAATTATCAGTCAATTAAAAATAAATCACCATGGAAAAACCTGGAAGTACTGGACAGCCGTTTCGTCCTAATATGGGACTCCTCAGCAGAGCGCATCCATGATCCCGCCCCTCGTTAGACTCATGATTTCAATCTATGAAATTTCTAAAATCTCCACAAAACCCATTCTGAAAAAGAATGATTAGTTTGAAAACGAAAGAATAATCAAGTTTGAGACAATTGATTGATATTTTGCAAATGAACTACTTACTGTATGGTTCTTTGATTTTTCTAAGTGATACTGTAATTCTGTGTTTAAATAGATTCTATTGTCCCCACTTGCATTCTGGTTCACTACAGAAGTACTGCCTCTTAATCTATTGTTGAAATCTATGATTCAGTTGTTGAAAATAATAACATATCTCAAGTGTTGATCTTTTCTTCCAATGGCAATCAACCCCTTTCTATGAGATAGATCTCTAATAAATATCACAACTAAACCATCCACTTAGCAACTGTACTTACAACTGTACCAATATCTGATAATTTCCATCAATATTCATTTACATTATAATTTTAATTTTCGACTTATATTTGAATGATTTTCATATCGTTTTGTATCAATCATTTAGGAATCCATTTCGTGGAAAAATTTTCAATGATTATAGCCATAAAGATTGGTATAAAGGAGTTGTGATCGATTATAAGGGTAAAGTAAGTAATTATGTTTACTTCATAGTTGATTTTAATTTTTGTATACATTGTTCAAATCCCATATTCCCATTAATCTGATCTAATCTAAAGCAATAATAATAATAATTTTATATTCTGAAAATAATACTTACAGAATTCACGCCAGTTTATAGGTATGATCAAATTGATATAAATAGTAACATTATATATGCAAAGACAGATAGTGATTAGCAGTGGAATTCGGTTTGACGCACGTCTCGTCCTATTTAGGAATCGTCAGCTGAATGTACCTGCATCTTAGGGTTGACGTTCACTCCAGGACTCGAATCCAATGTCATTCGCTTCAAATGCCATTGCGTTCTCCATTCACCTACTGAGTCCTGACAGTCACTTGCATTTGCAATGAGTGAATTTTAAATTCACTTGATATTATTTACTGGAATTTTCCATTGATGTTTAGGACTGCAACTGATCAGTCTCTTATTGACATACGTGCATAGTGTGCGTATTACCTCAATATTGTCTATTATGACTCAGTAGCTAAGTAGATAACGCGATTTTGTTTGAAGCGAACGGTACTGGATTCTAGTCTCGGAGTGAACATCAACTCTCAGGCAATACGCACAGGACGCATATATATTAACATGAGACTGATCAATTACAGTACTAAATAACAATGTGAAGATACAAGTAAAACAATACAAAGGGAATTTATGTCAATCAGCTTCACCATAATACATGTGTCATGTGATCCAGTGATATACTATTTATGTTAGACATTATTCAAATTAGTTAACTATGCTAAGGATAGTGTTAACGTAAATTGACAGCATGTAGGTGGTTTTACATATGGAATTCACTAATAAGAATGGCTAAACATTTAAAGTTCCTGTAATTTCACTTGTGGAATATGATACACTTACAGGCGCTAGAACATTTTATGCATTTTCAGAGGAGCAGTATGCATCAATGCAGCGAACAGAGTAGGAGTGATTTTATCGTATGGACAGATTGTGGTAGATTATTCCAACGTCTTAAAAATTTAAAGGTGAAGTAATTCATATAGAGAAATGATTTAGAATAGGTTTGTATGATAATTAGAAGTATTTGAATTATAATATGAACTAAGAATCCCAGCAATAATGTAATGGGATCAAGTAGTAACAGATAAGCACAAACGAATGTACTGTATTTGAAATTTGAAATCAAGCATTCAACAAGTACAAAGGAATCATTAATTCATTCAAACACCACATCCGCCACAGATTAAATTAAAGTCTAATTGTCTGTAGTCGATTGTGAGTCTCCTTCTCAAGTTCATCCCGTGTCTGTCCGACATTGTATTGGATAAAAACTCTGTATGATCTAGAATGCACTCATTAGTATTGGAATTAACAAACGAAATCGGAACAGACTCACTTGGTTCCTGGGACTGTATACAATCGCCGTGTCGTTTGTGTACCGAAACCACTATCTAGAATTTGAAGAACAGATTTCCCAACACTATCCTCCTCCATGAAATAATGTTGGATCTATATATCCCCAATTTATGAATGATGTGGCTTCATTTAAAACATATTTCTCACATTGACTAGAGTAACCATTAGAAGTGACTTCGTGATAAAGATAAACAGCAGTTGATATGAAATCATCCAAATTCTAATCAAACTCGAGCTCACTTAGTACTTGTGCTTCGCACTGGACACGTTTCCCACAAGAAACAAATACATTATGAGGACAAATGATATTTGATAGAACATCAATTTTTGATTCTTCTGAAATAGTTTCCTCAAACTTATTAAGAATGTCATTGCAAAGTAAAGGATCATTAGAAAAATCAGCATCTATCAAAACTACATCAGGTTTTTGATCATGACTAGGTTCATTCAACATATTTTCCTCAGATTTGCAAGGAATTTCGCCAAAAATAAGTGAATCATTAGGAAAAACCATATCTGGTAAGATAACATGAGAAATCTTATAAGTCGATTGATTAGAAAATGATGTCTCGCAAGAATTATGAGTTTTATTTAACTCTGAACTGCTATATGAATCTACACTGTCTTTTGAAATCGTTGATAATGACAAATGATCATTAAGAACACTGGATTTAATAGAATCAGACTTACAAGACTTAATAGTAGTTGCAATAAGATGAACATTAGTATTACAGTCTGACTGAATATGTCCAATATCACCACATTTAAAGCATTTAGAATTACGAAATTTACATGAGTTAAAGGAGTGGAACCTGCCACAGGACAAACATTGATCAAACTTGTGCCCATCTTTGTAAAATGCATCGTAACTCCTCAATGAATTATCTGCATAACCATGAGTATGCAGTGGGTTGGGATGACGTAATGTAATCGAATTTTTTATATCCTCATGAATCATTTTACGAAATCTACCTTTACCGCATTCGAAGTTTGTATACTTAACATAGTCTAGCAGTAGATCCTTGAGAGTTGTATATATGTAAGCAAATATCGACGAACCAAATCAACATTGACTTTCCTGAAATAGATTGCAAGATTTACTCCTAGTTTGTACGGTGAACGTGTATTTTGTCCTGAACAATACTTATTATAGAAAAACTGATGAAATAGCTATGGGCTCACATCTAAGACCAATTTCAGCTGATTTCTTCCTAGCTAAATTAGAAAATGGAATGTTTAACGAAACTACCAACAAGCTAGATCTATATTGCAACCACAATGACGACACATTCACTATTGAAGTGCGGAATACCAATAAAGAAGAACTCCCACGCCGTCTCAATAGTATACAACTGACAATCACTTACACTGGTGAATATGTGTGACGATAAACGTAATTTTCCGGATATCTGATTAAGTAGATGGGTTGACGGATCGTTAAGTATAAGCATGTATAGAAAGAGCTGCTCTTCTGTCCAAAACACACGCTTCTACACTTGTATACCCATTTGCCACAGAGGAAATCAGGTTAGATGTCTCACAAGCACAGCAAAAAGATTTGCTCAGATGATATCATAAAGAAGGATTTGGAGTTTATTAATAGCACACTGATGGAGATTGGCTGTTCTGGAAATCTTTTAAAAATGTACATGTATGTGGGGAAAAAATAAGTTAAAGTCACTGACCACTGATAAGGAGAGTCTATTCTTAAAGTTAAGATTCGACGTGTCTAGTGATATCTTACCCAATAGATTAGGAGGGACGCTTAATTTGACATACTATGCAGCTAATTTTGCGTTGGTAATTACCAGTACACTAGTGATATCTACAGAAACAATGGAAACGTTCCCAGGGTTTGCCACTTCAGTATGCATTTACAAATTCAGCTGCTTCTAAGAAGATAACCATACGTATGACGTATTGTTCTATTTTTATCTCAACTAAATTTACTCCAGTTTGGATTGTACAAACAGATTTGTTCTTCTATCCGTAAATTTTGAATAAATGAATAGTGTTAGCCATACTTATATACAACACGAAATAAAATGCGTTTGCGATTTATCAACATTTGATAAATGAACATTTTAGATTTTCTCTTTCAATATTCTGATTCAACAAATACAAAGTAATTTTGTTTTATTCCTAGCAAGTCAACCCGGAAACGTTTCTGAAAGTTCTGAAAGGAGATAAAAGCGCTGGTGGAAAAGTTTTGAAAAGGTAAGTTGTTTATATTGTCATACTTTTGTATTACTTAACATAAATGGTGATACCAATAATCGGAATACATATTGAATAGCAAAATGAGATCAGTATGGACATCTGCTTAGACTCGATTGCATACTACTTCTCACTCGTCAGCAATGTGATTCTCAAATACTGAGGGAACTGGTACTCTCCATTGAACGTGAACAAATATCGCACATTCTTGCAGTCAGAGTGGTTATCACCCACTAAACAGAGTAAACATTGAACATCATCGATACAAGATACTGACACTGGTTTTTCTTCAACAATGATCGATGTCATGTTTGTTTCTTCTCAGTGATCAAAGCATTTTATCGATGATGTTGAATTGTGGAAACTAGATGAATACATTCAATATCAATTCCAGTTCACTTCGATGTAAGATGAATGGGGACAGTTGACAAGAAGTTCTTACTCAGTGATAAACCTTGTAATGTGTATTACAGAATCCACTGGAATTCGTCAGTACTGATTATAATCAAATGTGTGAATCTGAATTCTTGTTGTTTAAACTGTAATTCGTGATGATAGTTATTAGAGTCAGACATAATTTGGAAGTAGTCCGAATTTACGAGTCAAATGTGAGTTGGTTATTATGTTAATCTGGACTGTAGAAACGGTGAGATCTCTCTCGTAATCATTCACCAATTCCCATTGACTACATCCAACCATGAAATTCTTCGGTCTAATATGTTGTGTTATTTATGGATTGTGAGAAATTTCTCATTTTCACTGTTTGGTTACTGCATTGTAATTTCGTTACCTATGCATTGGCACTCATCATCTTATTTCCACAGTATAGCACTATCTGTATGAACATCTGTGTTGTAAATCGTGTGAATTTGATTCCATGTTGTGTAGAATTGAATTTGTTAGATTGGATCGATTCCATTCAAGTTGAAACTTGCCTGTATGATTCTTTCAGTTAATAATTCTTTCCGATTGTTCTTCTATTCTCTTTAATTCGGTCCTCCTAAAGTTGTGGTGACCAGTTTTCCGTTTTTGGTTAGTGTAACATACTAATTAAACTTGTCGACAGGCATATACTAAATTATTGTAATTGTTTGTTAGATTGATCGATATATTTAATTGGTATTTAATCCGTTCAGAGGTGACATTCATCTGTCATATCATGTGCTAATTAGCTTTTACCTCTCAATCAATGAATCAATCTATCAAACTGTATTGTGACCATTCGATTAAGTAAATCGATTCATGCAACGAAGTTGAGTTAGTTGTCTCAAAACTCTATAGATTTACTAGTGAAATGATGTGGATTTAATGGATTTAGTACGAGTATTAAACATAGTAATCAACCGAAGAACAGTACGTCGTGTTAAAGGGGATTGATTCCATTCAAGTTGAAACAAGCTTTCAAAATGATAGTTGAGTGTAGAGGAATCTGAGTGTTGACTCCCTGCTGATGAGTATTAGTACTTAGTTATTTACGCCTGTTATTCCTCGTTGAGGAGCATAGGCCTCTCACCAGCATTCTCTATCCAACCCTGACCTGGGCAATCCTTTCCAGATCTTTCCAGTTGTTATTCATCCTTTTCATATCTGCTTCTATTTCTGGACGTAATGTCTTCTTTGGTCTTCCTTTTTTCTACTTCCCTTCAGGATTCCAAGTTAAGGCTTGCTTCGTGATGCTTTGCGTAATGTATGTCCTATTCACTCCCAATGTCTTTTCCTAATTTCCTCCTTAGCTGGGTGCTGGTTGGTTCTCTCCCACAAAAGGCTGTTGTTGATGGTATCCGGCCAATGGATGTTGAGTATCTTGCATAGACAGCTATTTATAAATAATTCTTAATGGTGGTTGTTGTAGTTCTCCAAGTTTCAGCTCCATGCAGTAGAACTGCCTTGATGTTCGTATTGAAGATTCTGACTTTGATATTGGTTGAAAGTTGTTTTGAGTTCCATAAGTTATTCAATTGTGGGAATGCGACCCTTTCTTTGGCAATCCTCGCCTTTAGTTCTGCATCCATATCCCCCTTATTCATCGATGATGCTTCCCAGGTATGTGAAGGATTCTACGTCTTCCAGAGTGTCGCCATCAAGAGTGATTGGAATGCTGTTCTCCTTGGTTTTCCCCTTGTGTATGTTGAGGCTTACTGATGCAGAGATTGCTGCTACATTGGCTGTCTTTATTTGCATTTGTTCGTGTATATGCGACAGGAGGGCTAGGTCATCTGCGAAGTCCAAATCGTCCAATTGGTTCTGAGCTGTTCATCATATGCCGTGTTTTCCCTCAGATGTCGAGTTCTTCATAATCCAGTCGACCACCGGGAGAAAGAGGAAGGGAGAGAGTAAGCAGCCTTGTCTGACTCCGGTCCTTACTTGGAATGCATCTGTCAGCTGTCCTCCATGCACGACTTTGCACTGTAGTCCGTCGTATGAGTTTCGGATAATGTTGACAATCTTATCAGGAACCCAATAATATCTTCTTCTTCCTTCAGTAGATCTTGTAAGGCTTGGAACCTGTTGTTGAGAGCTATCTTTCATTCATTGAGTTTGTCAGTATCTCGCAGGAAGACAGTATTGAACCTTTGTAGTGCCGTTCGTCCAGTTGTACAGTTGTTCTTAGCTTCAGTTTTAAATTGGCCTCAACTAGGTGGTGATCTGAAGCTATATCAGCGCTTCTCCCTCATGGTTATCACATCTTCCATTTTCCTTCGGAATTTTTTATTGATGCAAATGTGATATATCTGGTTCTCTGTGGTGTGGTCTGGTGAGATCCACATAGCTTTGTGTATACAACTGTGTGGAAACATTGTGCCGCCTATGATCAATCTCTTGAGTGCACACTGATTTGCAAATCTTTCCACATTTTCGTTTCTCTCTCCCAGTCAATCCATGTCGTCCCATGATATCTTCATATCCGGTGTTGTCTATTCCGACTTTGGCGTTTAGATCCCCCATGAGAATGGTGAGGTCGTTTCTTGGGCATTTCTCTATGACTGATTGCAGCCTCTCATACAATTGATCGTTATTGTCATCGTTGCTATCATTGGTGAGTGAATAACATTGGATAATATTCATTAAAATCCCCTTCTTTGTTTTGAATGATGCTTTGACGATTCTGGATCCGTGAGATTCCCATCCTACAAGTCCATTTCGTGCTACTTTGGACAGCATTAGAGTGACTCCCTGACTGTGTGGAGCATATTCCTCTTCGTGACTGGAGTACAGCAACAACTTTCCTGTATTTAGTCTTTGTTGTTCAGCGTGGGTCCAATGGGTTTCGCTGATTCTCCGTGCTGCCAAGTTTTATCTCCTCATTTCCGTTGCTATTTGACTTGTCTTACCGGTCTCCCACATTGTTCGGACGTTCCATGTACCTATAAAAATTGTTGTTCTGGTTGTTAGAAGGAGCATCAGCCTCGTGACTTCCGAAGGAATTCGGCTTTCACCATGAGGCTTCATAGTTCTTCTAGATGAAGACCTTCTAGTTCCCTGGTCAGAGTTTAAATGGTTTGAATTACTTTTTTCTGGTTAGTGTTTTTTTAGCGATTTAGTTTTCTACGGGATGTGGTCGCTAACTCCATGCCGAACCGTCCTCCTTTACCAGGGCTTGGGACCGGCATTAACTCTAGAAGAGCTACAGGCTAAGGTAATGAGTATAAGTAGTCGAATACGAATTCTATGTTTACATGATGATATGCAACTTTGAAATGTATGAGGTACAGATACACTAGTATGAGTGGTGTCCCGAGATACTTCATCTTTCTCTGTAACGTTTCTACGACCACTTATTTGAAAATTATTTGTTGTTTTATCATGTATGTTATGCATACACTAACTAAATTTGTACACTGAAATCATTATCGATTTGCGAAGAATGTCAGTAGAGTGACGTGTGTAATGTGATTTAGTAGTATAAACCATTCATTTTTCATTCGAAATAAACTTATCAAGTTTGTTTTCATGTCTAAAATCATCATGTTGATGTAAGCCAGTTATCCAGTAGTCAGTAATTTGAAACGACATCCCAACTGTTGTCAATCAAAGTGATCTTTATCGAATAACTAATCAGATTATTTGTTTATATTCTATTCACAGTGGGAAAAATGATGATGTATTCATATACTTCACTGATCATGGTGCACCGGGTCTAATCGCCTTCCCTGATGATGATGTAAGTGTATATCAGTGTTCGTTAGCATCTCTAATTCGGTAATTATATCTTTCATCACGTGATTTTCGGACAACTTTGTGATATAGATTAGATCATGTATCTGGTAAGCCTCAACTTATGAAGTAGTCTCGAACGATTTACTCACAGATGATACTGATTCCAACTGCAACAAAACATATTTCAAGTCACTAGATCCACCAACCTTTTGAACTAGTGTTTTACCTAATTCGTTGATAGTGTCCTAATGTATGTAAAAGAGAGTAAATGCTCAGTCACTACGGTAGATTATTTTTGTCAGACGGTAGTGAGTCGAAAGTCAGAATCACGCTTTGTTCCATCTTGGTTAGCGATCAGATACACATAATCGGAAAGCTTCATTTGTCAATGCAGATTGTGAACAAAATGAACAAAGGAACGGAAAACAACTAATGATTGTAGCAATCAACAAATCGATCCAATTTATCAATCAATCGGGAAAATTATGCACAAACATAGGAACAAAAATTAAACCAATAGGAGACACAACCGAAACAAAGAAGTAAACAATGGCAGGTTTAAGTTCAACAAGAATCGATCAAAATCGAGGTCTACAAGACAGGCTATGAGTCACATATGAAGAAATTCGAACACTTCACATCTATTTGGAGTTTGTGTTGATGATGTCGTTGAGAAGAACGATGGAAGCTCCACGACCAAACCATCCAGCTCAGAGAACAAAACTCCATCAACATGGATTCTAAAATGTTCCGAATACTGATGTGTGGGCGAGAATGATCACGATTGGTTGTCTGCTTAGTCAGACATGCAGATAGTCTGACAGGTGTCAGATAAGTTATATATTCCCTTATCCTTATTATTGTGAAACACTTGTTATTGATTGTTCATTGTTATGGATTGTGTCGGTTTTTCACGTGGAGACATATTCACGTTGTAGTCAGGCTGATTACGTGTTCTTGATCTGAGTTGTGTTGACGACCTGGGAGGGATCTAGTGTAGATATTCGTCTAAGGTAAATTAACGTCCCATACGTGTAAACGTGGAACCCAGCCGTTATAACATGAGACGAAGAAAAACCAAGCGGTATAACAAATACATAATCAGTGAGTTATGCATTCAGTTCAAACGAGATTGATACTGTTTGTTATCTACCAGTAACATTGGATGGTAATGATAGTTGTATATGTAGGAAAATGTAGACCATTACCAAACTGATCCAGTGGTTGTCGAGACAATAGAATTCTCCACATTAAATATTATGCTGTCATAAACGGGTAGGACGAACCATAGGTTTTTTCATACTACCACATATACACTGTCAATAGTCGGTGTATTCGTTCTTATAACTTTACAGAATATAACTTTCATCCCTATTCATTAGAATTGTTTGGATCTTCATCACCGTTAATTAGGTTTGATATGTGTTGATTTTGGAAACTTAAGATCTTTGTCGAATTAGTCAAATACTTTCACAGTATGCGTATGATATTCACTTTAGAGTTATCAAGGATAATAACATATGTGTAAGAATGATTGAAAAACGATTTATATAGGTCCTACTTAATTAATTCAAACTGAACTTCAGTTTATTTTGACTTAATGTTGCATAGTTTATTGTCTAATATAACTATCCTAATGTCACGTATATTGGGGAAGAAATCCATTCACTGTTTGTTCATTTATTTAAACACATAAACATAGGTACAACAAAGCACCAAATAGATATGCGCCACACAAATCATTCGATTTATGTGAGAGCTGGGATACTGTCCGGGTTCCAAAACCGAAGCAGGTGGTTTTCTTAAGGGGCCACACTCTGAGCCTTTGACCTGAAGGTCTGATCCACAAGGCAGAAGAGCAACGTTAGGAGATGCAGTTCCATGGCAGCTGGTGACCAGCGATTGGTTCATACGCTGTTTGTTCAATCACGATCTCGGAGTTCATGTACACCGTTGGTTTGGAATCAGGGTTTTCCAACTCCTCTATGTAAACTCTCCGTGTTCACCAGACCTAGTTAAAGCTGGACATTCGCTTTTCGTCCTCTCAATTCCATAGACAACACCCGTGGTGAGAAATGGTAGTGAGTAGGACTTCTCTGGCAGTGGTTATATGCACGTGGTCATGTGTGAGCATTTCGAGAGGGAGAGCTTACTCTCCCCACTTAAAGTAACATATTCATTTTCCCGTTTGTAGTTGATTGGAAAATCCTTGATCAACTGATTATTATGATTACTTGAAATGATATTAGATAATTCTATAAAATATACACAATCATAGTCATCATCATATTAATACACTAGATTCACCTTTACCAGTTTCAGTTTTAGATACATAGATAATTTAAAAGGATAACTACACAAACGAAGATGTTTAAATGTATTTACGTTTCGATTAATAAAGTTTTAAATAAAGATATGATCAATGACTTCTCATACAACGGAACCATAATTGATGTCTCCTAATGAGACTTCAGTTTCATTCAATTAGTCGAGAATAATGTGAAAGTATACACTGACTTAAGATCTGGAGGAAGATGAAGAGTGAATGTATTTACTCCACATTAAATGAGTCTGAGTCATGTCACTCATAATGCAAGTCGGCTATGTGTCATACATTTATAACAGAATAATCAATTCATCTTATTTCCTATATTTGTATATTTCTTTCAAGTTACATGCCAAACAATTTATGGCAACGCTGAAATACCTTCATAACCACAAACGTTATTCAAAACTAGTGATTTATATTGAAGCGTGTGAATCAGGTTCCATGTTTCAAGGAATATTACCGTCGAATTTAAATAGTGAGTGCAATTTCAAATCAGTTCCTTTTTCACAACACAGATATAATATCACTATTTCGCTCAGTTGATTATTGTCTTTGATGTATCATTTAATGTAACAAATTGAAGAATGTAGTTGAGGAGTTCACAAGAATAATGGGTAACGGTTTACACTTCATCAAACATGTTCACATGAGAAGTGCAAAATTATCACTGTACAATTGACTGTTTGCATTCTTTGACTTAACAATATCGTCGTCAGTGGAAATCCTATGAATACGGTTATGAAATTAACAGTGATTATGAATCCATTAGTCAACAAATGTTCCAGAAAAACTAGGAGTTCCAATATCAACATACTTCAATGTGACACATGTTAGGTGTGCATTGCATTACAATTCAAGTGGAAATATATGTATATGTTCAAAGTGTCTCATGGATTGTACATTGATTGAATGAAATCAGCAATCAAACTGACAATGTTTGTAGATCAAATACAACATAATGGTTTTGCCTACATTGATATTGCGAAGAGTTTATAGTTGAGCATTTCACATCGACGAAGATGTAGACATATAGATGATGACAATTTTGTTATTTGCCATCAGTTATTGGCATTCTTTTAAGTAAATTCCATTGTGAGTTCAAGTCCACACTCAGTAGACACTTGAACAGGTACCACAAACAGCTATATTATTGTGGATGAAATGTGTGTGAACTCAAAGACTTCATTCGACATGTGAGTGGTATGTGAATACTACAAGAATATCTCATCGGTTTGAGGATGGAACCATCAACATAGATGGTTGAATTTTCCCACTGGATACTTTAATGTGGATAGTATTATAGTGTGTCTAGATGTCGTTTGTAGAAACTTCTCGACAATTTTGTTCTGTATTTTCTTGTGTCGATTATGAATCGTTCACTTCGTTTGATGCTATGCAAACCGTTTTGTAAGAACATATTTTAAGCACTAAGTTCTGTGAAATATGATTAGTCGTTTATGATTCACTGAGAAAGTCACAAAAGAAGGGTTGATTGTTGGGATAGAAAGAATTCTCAGAAGTGATGAATAAACTTGATCATGAACAATAGGATCTCTAGTGTTGTTAGGAGCAACAAGTGAGCAACTCTGGGGTTAAACGTAGGGTACTAGTTAAGTATAGCAAATTGATTTATGGCGCAATGAATATTTCTCAATTGTAATGTTTAGGATACATATTACGTGTGTCCGTCCAACGACTACCTAGTCGCGCGGTTCTGCCTGTTGTAGGAGTAGGTTGAAAGAATGCTAGAGACAGTCAAATTACGACATGACATCAGTCCATGAAAATACTGACCACTGAAATAAACTGAATAGATGCGGATCTATCGGTTAGGATTTGTAAAATTAGTGTGACCAATTTTTGTAGATTGTGTTACATGGCTCTGAATTGTTCGCGACCACACAACCTTACTCATATTTTTTCATCACTTAGAATTTGAATGTGTAACTTTACATTTGGAAGAATTGTTCATCTAATATTTTCTCAACTTTTTCCCTTTTACTTTACAGTTTACGCGACTACAGCTGCTAGTCCAACTGAATCTAGTTATGGTACATTTTGTGATGATCCAAAAATACCTTCTTGCCTGGCTGATTTATACTCATACGATTGGATTGTTGACTCACAAACAGTATGTTGTATACAAATTTATACTTATATAAACTTAACATACCTAATACAATATCAAATCACTCTAGACATATAATCAAATATAAGAAAGCTTTGAATGTTTACCATTTCGGAATAGTCCTAAGTGATGTGAATCACGACTAAACTGCTCTCAAAACTATACACTAATTAATAAATGGAAATGTCTATTGGATATCGTAGTTTAAACAATCACTTTTTGCTGTGTGATGACGGTGTTCGTAGAAAGCACCTATTCAACTGTTTGGTTTATCCATGTATTTTTATGATGAATGGTATATGGTAGTGTGATGTCGAAAAACGGCTGTTATTAACCACATTGTAGACACAACATCAAAATAATGCTGGTTATGAGAACGAAAAACAGCAGGTTTATATCTTAAACATACAAGTTTACTTAATTTTGGACAGACAATTATCCGTGAATATCGATAGCTAGAACTGAGTTCGAACACATACATGAGGTGATGGAAGACAAAGAGACAAACTACCAATACACAACTTTACAGTAATTCATTTTCACTAAATTCTTCCACTTATTTATACATTAATCACTTTATTGAATATATTTAATGTTTTTAATATTTCTCTCCATTTTGAAGCACCAGTTGACACGACGAACACTCGACCAACAGTATAGAGAGGTTAAACGTGAAACGGATCTTAGTCATGTTCAGAGATATGGTGATACGGTAAGCACTTACAAAATTCATCATATAAGACACTTTCGATTTTGTAATGACAGGCAATGTTGCACTGCTAACTTGACAATCGAACAAGTACTGATGAAAAGTGTGATACATTGTCATGCACGTACATGGGCTCCAGGATCCTGAAGGAAAAATGGAGTATGAACCAATTATTGGTCACCAGCTAACATGGAACTGCGTCTCCTGACGTTGCTCCGCTGCCTTGTGGACCAGACATTTGGGGCGTGGCCCCATAAGAAAATCACCTGTTTCGGTTTGGGCACCTGGGCAGTAACTCAACCCTTAAACAAATCGAATGATGAATGTGGCGCATATCTGCTTGGTGCCTCCTCGTACTAATATTTATGTGTTTAAATAAATAATAAATCTTCAATATTATTTTAACGGTAAACTACAAGTGTCGGTGACAAAGAGAGGAACTACAATGGACTCATACCATACACAGTTGAAATGATGATTTCTTAAACGAAATTTAAGAGTACTAATGAATGGTATTTTGATATTTATCAAACTGATAGGTACATATTCACTTGGTATTATTTGTTTGAATACTCCCATTGATGTTTACGACTATAATTGATCAATCTCTTATTGGCATATGTGCATACTGTGTGTATTGCATCGATATAGCTTTAATTCACAAGCATCATATGCAAAGATGGATATTGGCTAGCCGTCAAATCCAGTTTGACGCTCGTTTCGTTCTATTCGAGACTCGTCAGCTGTGAACATCAACTCTGATATACAGGTACGTCCAACTAACGAGTCCCAAATAGGACAAGAAGCACGTCCTGGATTCCACTGCTAGTCACTATTTACCTTTGCATATAATGGTAGGTTTATTGTTTCTGAAATCGAAATGAAGTCTTCAAATTGATCTGATTTTTAAATAAGAAGTGGTAGACAATTGTGATCATCAAATTTAATGCAATTTGTTTACTTGTTTGTTTACTTGTTTTTTGTTAGAAAATGGGTAAATTACACGTTAGTGAATTTCAAGGAAGTCGAAACAAGGATTTAATTGAGGACAATGAACCTCCAATGAAGGTAAATCATACTTAATTAATGTGTTATTACTTCCATATAACTGCTAAGTGTTTAGGATCAACTTATTGTAGGTGAACGGCTAACAAATTGCTCACAAACTTCATGTTACACATGGATATCATTTACAGCTGATTAATGTTTTAATTATCAAATAGTGATATTAATACAGTTTTCCACTGAAAATTTCCATCTGATTTTTTTCAAATACTACTTGAGACACTCAACTGTTTGGAAGAAAATAAGCTGATGATGAACTGAGGGTAAAATCAATAGAATGCTTGTTTGAGTGAATGATGACGACATTAGAAACTGATTTTCACAAACAAGATATTAATTGAAAACAAATTTTGGCTGTTAACCACAATACCATGTGTTTCGGTTAGGTGTCAGAATACAGAAAGACGATATGTGACGGACGGCTACGATGAATTCATATCTTATAGTGGCTCTTAATCTGACTTCAGGTTGGGTGTGTAAATGTTTGTTATTGAAATATACATATCGCCGATTCTCGTATATAATCGACTTAAATCACATTAGTGAATAAGGGAATTAAAATAAATCAAATACGAGGAAGGATTTCAAACACGTATATTTCGTAAAATCGTTGATCCAGACAAAAGATCGGAGAAGCAAAGAAAAGAAAGTGAAGCGAAATGGTGTACAGTGGAGGCGTGTGAGCCAACTCCATTTAATCAAGCGTTGATCAATATTTATAGTCACACAAAAATAAGTTACAGATATGCAATGGATAGGATATGAAGTGAACACATATACCCTCATCCAAAATCAGTCAAGGTTAGTAAACGAACAATTGACAAGGCCAAAATATGATTCAAGAAGAATGAATAAATTGGTCTGTCCAGAAGCTATAATAATCCGTATGGGTTTAATATAGTAACCGACACTAAAATCTAGCAAAAACATAGAATCATTGAAATATCGCTGATCAACATAATATGATCATGGAAAAATGAGTGAATGAATAATGTTCCTTTATCCAAATGTCGAATGCACAGTCTAATAAAGTCACCTAGACCATTCATCAGTTTGGAACAATGTTTCAAGTAGGAAACCTTTCGACTAAATTGATCAGCAGACTAGGTTGTATATAATTCAGTCATTTCTTGTCAACAAAATTGATGCCTCAAAATGTCAATGTTTTGTCAATGGAATTAAAGTTCCATAATTTAAACGAACACTAGATACAAATCTCTATGTTTTCGTTGTCATTTAGCCAAAGGATTCTGTCGCTTCACGTGATATTCCATTGCATACTCTACATCGTCAAATAATGATGACCAATAATGCAGAAGACAAGAAGTTACTAATGGAAATTCTTGGTTTGAAATTGAAGGTGAGGCATTTTTTCCCCTGAGTTTTAATTATTTAACACTGTTAATGTATCCTTTTTTTCACTTATTATGACATGATTTTCGAGACTGGTTTTCAATATCTCCAAAACCTATCAGTATTACACATTTTATAGAATTTCTCTCCTAGAATTATCACAATAGTCTGGACATAAATATTCAACTGTATAGACACTTCTGATTCTTCATTTATATATATTGCCTTTCCAAAAAATCGACCTCACCGAAAACTCTTATGGTAATGGTACTATTTTAAAGTGGTAGTGTCTTCCCGAAGTTGATGTTATTAATCAGTTTCTCGTGACAAACTTGCATGCTCTACACACTGTCTCAATAATGCCATTTTATCACAAATCTTAATTAAGGTTGGAAGGACGATTAACAATGGTATCCAGGATGTACTTGTTTTTTTATTTTAGACTTCTCGGGTGCATTTATCCGCATTTCAGTGTTATTGCTTGTGTACAAACGCAAACCAGGTATACTCTGATAAACGTACTCATCGTATTATCCACGATGTACCAAGTCTAGATTTCTACTATCTGGGGTAATGGGTAGGAATTCAGTTTTTAAGTGCTTGTGTCTTCCCATTGTTAATAGTATTGTTTCTCAGTTGTAAATAAATGAATTCATACCATTGTGTTAAATACAGTATTCCTATCTGACTCAAATAATTTTTCCTTGTAGAAAGCGTAAACTATATCGTGATAAGTTTAACACAATGTTCAGTATTTCATTGCGTAATCATGTGATTTCAAAAGTTGATTCATCGAATGTCTTGTAGCGGTAAATAAATCCCCAAAATAAATAGCCCTGTAAGTCTTCAACATTGGATACTGACCACATTAGTTTTAATGGACTCACCTAGCTGAAAGCGCTAGGTCATTCATCCGCACCAGATCACGAGTGGGAACGCCGTGATCAACTTCTCCTGCAACCGCTAGCCAATCAGATCATTCGTTTCTCGATATATTGAAAGCCTATCAAATATGTTTTCGAAACTCCTCGCTTCTGACTTTTGATTTCACTGTATGGGTACGATTCATTTATAGAAAGTGTTACCGGTTAAAGTGATGTCAAATTACAAATATCTGTGGCATCTTCAGTTTCTTCAAAACTTTGATTATTACTATCAAATTTCACAGTAGTATAAGATATACAAAGTGATACAACCTAATGCAAGTTCAAAAAATAGCTTGATACATTCCATAATACTATTCTAACATCTGATCAGTTCACCAGATTCAAAGTGCTTTTATGAATTCGCAAACAATACTTGATTGATGTTAATGACTCTTATGTAAATGATTTCACAGATATGTTACTGTTTTATTTATAAATGTGTAAAACATAACATAACTATGCGTTTTTTTACATCCACTTATTTAAAAATGAAACCAGAGATCCATGCAGTAATAAATCTGGTCGTAAATCATTATCATTCTCTTCTCATCAATAAGATCAGCATAAAGAACCATTTAGGGTTGTTTAACTTTCCTTCATTTATTTTGTAGTATTTATTGATCGCTGACGGACATTTTCATTCTAAGTCGTCTTCAGAGATTGTCGAACTTCATTGTTTACATCATGGACTGATCCTAATAAGACATGAAAAATATGATGTGAAAAATCAGTGGTTTGAAGGTGAAGAGCTCACACAGGGATGTGATGATTACGGGTTCGACTCTCGATGGGGTCATCTATCCGCATTGTTGTGAAGTCCATAGTAAAACGAAACAACTTACCATTGCTTCTTTCTTTCTAAAACAGCTATGTAACAGAGATCAATCAGTAATGTAAACTAAAACACTGAACATTCTGCCTTCACAGGTTTGACATTTACAAGATGCTAATATTGATCCGTTTGTTTCAAGTTAAAAGATGTTTAGGACAACTCAATTGTACCATTCATAAATTCTGCTCGTATATTATGTATATTTATCTATCCACTCTTTAACGGTGTTTTAATTTCATTTTTGACAGAGAAGAGATTTCATTGAAGATACTATGAAATTAATAATGAAAGTAATGAATAATGAAGAAAAACCTATTTCCAAGGCAACTATCGATCAAACGTTGGATTGTACAGAATCCGTCTATGAACAGTTCAAAAGTAAATGTTTCACACTGCAACAGGTAAATACTTTCATTTAAGTGGAACAATCTTCTAAACACATTGCCTCTAATTTATCTCACAAACTCACTTCAATATGTTGATAGACCCTTCATATTTTATTGAGAAGCGTACACTTTTCTAAGTAGGTTAACATAGTCATGAGTGCGTCACTTGTGGTCTGCTAATTTGGCTTTTACTCGAATTTTACCAGATGAGAAATCTTAAATGTTTATATAATTTTGAAAGAGAAACCTAGAATGTCAGTCATTCTGTTAGTAATAAGTGTATAAAGAAGAGAACAAGCATGAAAATTAACTCTGATTCAAAATGATGTCAGCTTTACTCTATCATAAACACTCAATGAATTCAGGTCGGTTTGATTGAAACAATGAGTTACTAAATATAGATTCTAAAGTGAAAACACAGCTGACAGAAATAGTTTGCAGAGGAGGAAAGAATTTGAGTTACATGTACGACAAAATGTTTGTTATTATCTATTTCATTTAGGTTGACAGCAGAAGTGATAAGATAATGAATCTTACTTGAGATTCCTCAAATACAATTCTCCTGATGTGAGATCTGTTTGATTCAGCGTATACAGATAACATATTTATGTTAAGCACTAAATGTGACAGGCTTCAGAGCTTGCAAAACATATAGCTAAAGAATTCTGCGTCTGTAAAATATAATATTGGTCTTGGTTAGACGATAAATAATCAACGGAATAAATAGATTGCAGATTTTGCTCACATAATAAGCCACATCAACAGCGGTTTTCAATAAGACTCATTTTAATTAACAGTACAGCCAAGAAAAGAATGAAACAATTCTTATTTTCGAATTACACAATAAAATGAACATGAGCCCCATACATTTCCAACAATCTGATAACACATTGTTAAAGGATTTATATATATGAAAAATAGACACCAAGAGAACGATATGAAATATGGACGTAAAATAAAGATAATAAGAAAAACTGATGTGAATGAAACAACTGTGGATAATAAATGAATACTTCCAGGATAATTTTAGCAAAGTACCGATTGCTTCTGAACATACATGAAAACGTTGAATATCCGTAGGACCAAGGTTCAAAACAACTTGCTTATTTACCTTTGTACTACCAGGAATTTGTTGTTAAAATTGATCTCATGACCATCATCAACTATACGTTAAGCAATGAGTGGAGATGAATATTTGTTATTTGGTCTTATTGGATTATTTAATTTTACTTGTTTTGGCGTTCATTTTTACACATGTTTTGGAAACGCCATATTGATGTACTTCATAACAACTGTGAATTTCATCATCTAACTTTAGTGATAATATACTCATAAAACTATAAAATACTCAGTATTTTCTGTTAGGATATTCAGACTAAACACAGCATATCAGATTGAAATTTAAGGATCTTTTCTATTTGAAATGATTTCAGGCTCCAGAAGTTGGAGGACACTTGTCCACCCTTTACAATTATTGTGCAGAAGGTTATACAGCTGAAACGATCAATGAAGCAATCATAAAAATCTGCAATTAAATAAAGATTGATTTGTCAGTGTGATAAATTTCACCAATGTAAATTTTTAAATAAATGAGTCTTTTCTCAAAAACCAGCCTTCAATCTCTTTAACTAACGATAAGCGTGTTTAACTCATTGAACTGGATCATTTGATTGTTAGGCGTCCTGTAAGTTTCGGGATATTTACATTCAACTCGAATTCATAGGTGACGACCTCGTGGTGATAGTTAACCTAACCATTAGCCTTGTAAAACATTTGCAACTCAGTTGGATCAAGGATCGATGAGAATTATCTGCTCATCAATGCCAATTAACTACATAAATTCGTTAAAGCAGTTAAAATGTCACTGTAAGAAGGGTGAGCACATTTTAAAATGATCTATGCTCCAACGGAGCACAGACGTATTACCTGGTTTCGCCACATATATGCAAGTCTATGAATTCAGCTAATCTTGTGGAGGAAGCCATATTGGGCGCACTACTAGACAACTGAGCCATGGAGTTGGTGAACATCTCCCTAGGAAAAGATACTGTCAAGAAAATATACAGCTCGATTCTGCACACTTGATCGATAGCGGTCATGAAGTTGTAGTGACTCACTTTTATCACGAGAGCACGATTGGTTTAATGAAAACAATTGTTATTGTAATAACCAATTGTACCTGTGTTTGTTTAATGTGCTCTTTGTTTAACTGTGCGAATGACAGCTATATTATACTTCCATTATTATTCTTACACTTTGATTGTGACCTCGCGCGAATTTGGTTACGCTCTGTAACCAAGCTTGTATCCTGGCACGATCTCGGTATTCTTTCGATACCACGAGATCTCGAGCAAATATATCTCGACTTGGTCCATTAGCTGCCTTCTGATATTTCGCTTCCGGGGGATTTATTCGGCACGTGTTTCTACGTAGTGGTGTTCATAGACAATCTCGACTCGACTCTTTGCTACACAGTAAACAGAAATAAGTCATTTAAGGTTAAGTCTCGAGTTAGCAATGAAACGAGGGGTTACCCAACGAGAGAGTATTGCGACGCTCCGTTTGTAAGTGTAAATCAATCACACAAAACAAAACAGGTCTTAACGACTTGGAATTTTTATCGCAAGAAGTTCTGCGGCGCCCTAACCAAAACACTCACTAGTGTCTGTGAATTGCAGTTCCCATCGAGGTATTCAGTGAAAAACGCAGTAAATGTTTTAAAGAATTATAAAACACGTTTTTACGTTAAATTTTGATTTCCATAACGAGCACAACACACTTTGAAATCCTATTTATTATTTCATTTTTTATTATTTACCCTGGTATCGTTATGGCGGCTTAACCATATACTTACGATCGAGTCAATGTGGTTAATTAGGATTGTTTCGACAAACCTAGTAGCCGGGACTAAGAAGAAGAGTAGAATATGGATGACAATTTAATTTAATATCTCAATATGATAAGAGTTAATTCAAATGAGGACGACTGACGTGAAGTTGAAGAATAAACGGGACTTTTACTTGAGTCAAAGATATCATTGAATAAGCTTAGTTGAGAAAATAGTCCTACAAAATCCTGTAAATCCTGAACTTCCTTTTCACCAGAAAAATCCATCCAATCTTGTCGTGAGCGATTTAAGTTCATAAATAATAGTGAATCGGGAACAAGCAGCACAAAAGTCATTATTAGTCCATATTGCTATCGATTTGTAGATAACGCAATTTGTGATTAATCAATTTTAAAGTGTACATCAAGATTGTCACCAGTGTGGGTTGTGATTTTATTTTTGGACCCATTCATTTTTTATTCTTGATGTGACTGTTTTGGCACACTTCAATTATAAAGGTGCAACTGGCTAAGGCGATTTCAATCTTCGAATAACTATGGCGTCTTTAAACATTTCTAATATTTGCTATTACATCTCCAAGTAACAATCATATAACCATCATCCGTTTTTCCTTTCTTAGTTTGATCATCTTAAGTGGTATCCCAACACATTCTATAAATTAATAACAAGTCGCTTGGATGTACTGTTTTATTTCTTTTATTGTTCTGTAGATAGCATATTCTCATAAAAACAATTATTGGTGCCTTCGCGAGGTTATAAAGAAAGATTTTGTTTTCTTGGTACTGTTAATGGGATTGCTATAGTCCGCTGAATCGTTGCTGGATAACGCCGAATAACGGCTAAGAATGCTAGGTTTTGAATAGTGATATATGTATTCCTTCGAAACTCAGGCAATGCCATGAAAATAATGTGGATTTTTCCTTGAGAATAACTCACTGTCACTAATAGAAATGGAAACATTTGTATCTCAAGACGGATTTGTAGATCGGAACGAATATTTCAAACATTTACATAACTTATATATTCTCTGCTGGAACTGTATCGATGCAAAATAGCTTAGACAATCATTAATATCTTCTATTCGTGCCTCGTGAAATTTTGTTTTATTATCAAAAAGGCTATCACAACACGCATGCTCAATCCTAAGGGATAGGTATTTCTTCTATTCTGTAAAGTTGAGTTTGGCATATTGGACATACCGCGCTTTTGACCTTGATAGTGTTAACAGAGTGGCAATACAAAAATCTATTTATACAATGTCTGTTTATGCGCGCCGTTGCACTGCTTGTCTCTGTAGAGTCAAAAGCTCATGTTGTGATAGACGAAATGGCGTATCATTCATAGTTCATAGAAATGGAGATACCTTCAACCCGGGGAGACGCGTTTTCATCAATCAGAGATTAGCTCTAACATGGAGCTCATTCATGGAACAAGTAAGGAAACAGTTGGGACAGTATGTTCCTGCTATCCGTTGTATCGTATCACCGAATACGGGAACTAAGATAGAAAGCGTTGGCGACATAATGGAGAATCATAGGTACGTAGCAGTACCAAGGGGCGAACCTCTAAAACTGTTAGAGTAAGTAACAACTTTCATTAAAACATGCTTCATGATATCGATAAATGGATATTATTAATCATGTCACTTTGCTAGCATGTGGTTGAACGCTACCTCTGCGTTTCTTTATGTACGGTATTTTAAACACTAGCGAACTTCGTCTTAAGAATCTTAAGTTTTAAATAGAGAAAGCTAAGTAGTGAGTAATAATTTTGGCAAAGTTTAAAAAATCGTTCTTACTAAAGTTTCATTATTTAATGCTAATACGTTCGTCAAGGTAAGATTACCAGCTCGATAACGCCATCAGTATACTGATACTGATACTTAATATATTAAGTAATCAAACATCAGTAAAAATGATTTGTTTAATTTTTTCAACTCATTAGAGAGTGCCGATTTCCAATATTAAGTAATGTCAATTTCCAGCATTTAGATTTTTAAAAGCGCCTACTTTTACAAAATACCGTAATTTTGACATTCAGTCTCTAAATCTTGACTAGTGATGATCGGAGGTCTTCTGACCAGTATTAATCCACGCAATTTGTAGCATCATAGAGATGCAAATAAGGTGTTGATATTATGTGTTCTAGTGAAGAATTCCAGTAATTCATCATTTAGTGCGAAAAGACGAACTCTAGATGTAAATGATTTGATCCCCCTTTTTGAACTTTTTTAGAATGTCCTTTCAAATGAGCAGTTCTAAATGGAAGGAAAAGATAAGACGTATCAAGGCTGTCATTCAGAATACGATAAGCTAGTATTAGATTGCCTCATAACCCACAGTAAGACAATGAAGATATGTTCAGGCATCTAAGTCTGTCTTCATAAGATAGGCTAGAGTGGCCTTTTACAGTTTTGAACCCTCGACGTTCAACATTTTCTATAACATCCGCCTCACATTTGAGACGAGGATTTGCTGCATGAATCCTATACTCCCGAAGCAATCTCACAAAATTTGGGCACAATACTCTGAACGGTATTTCATCTAAGTAGTGAACTAACTTACGAATAGCCGGTAAGACCCTTAAGCCTTTGCAGCGTCAGCCTTGCAGTTACTCGTTATTCCAAGGTCGTTGCTTATAATAACTGCGATCTTTGTAGTCCGTTGCTTTACGTAACACAACTCTACATACTATGTAGTGATATGAACCGTTGCATCTATCCGTCCAAATCACTACATTCTTGCCAGAGTTAACTTTTAATGACCTATTTGAGATTATTATCAAATCATTGCTGGCTTGGATGACGAAACGTGAAACCAGATGAATTTTCATTCTTATATTTGGTAATATTCGATCAGCTAGACTTATTGCGATTCATATTTTCTACACTAAAATAATGCTTTTGCTTTGAGTTCAGCATACCATACTTTAAGTACAGTTTGACTGAAACCGCAACTGCAGTTTAAAACACGCAGTTATTGTGGATTTTGCGCTCTTATGAAGATTCTAAAACCTACAGTAGTTGAATGTCCATGCCACCCTACGGGTTTTGGTCATAGATTACTATATGTTTCGGATTAATTTATAGTAACACTAGAGAAGGGTAATTTTATTATAATCGAAAGACGTTAGTAGTCGGAACTTATCAACTTCTCAGCACTTTTCTACCTCATAAATCCAATAAGTACATACTAAACTATCAATCCCAAATGCCTAAATTATCCCATAACAGAACATTTTCATTATTATTGTGACCAAAAACCTTCAGTCGTCTAAACATATTGAAAAAAATATTTTACTTAATCGGCTAAACTGGTCAAGAATATTGTTGAAAAATATATACGGCTTTTTTTAGAGAAACTCGTCATCCAACGGTTTGCTATCACCATTTACTTTGCCATTGATGTGTTATTAATTCACTGTTTGACTATCCTATCTACCCCAAGAATTTCTAGTTTTATCAGTTGGTACATCATTGATTATGTGACTGGAGCCCTTACAAACCACAATAGCTCGTGTAACCTTTTGCCTATTTCCAATCCAGTCTTCTTCAGTGACGTTTCCTGCTTTGGAGCAAATATTTTATGTACCAGCCTCATTTGGCTACGATGACACTTTTATCTTGTTCATGAATTATGTGGTCTGCTGAGCGGTACTTTGATATGCTGTCGCAACAACCATATTCCATAACTACAAAAGTCATTATAGGTTATACCGAACCAAATAATAATATACTCTTCTTTGGTATATAAAAGAATGTTATTATTCAGGTCATCTGCGACCAATATCAAACGAGCCATACTGTTTGCAAAAATAATAGTAGTAACAAACAAAGCATTTCCGCAAGACGATGTAAAAAAGAATAATATTAGATCAAGAATGAAGTAAACTATAAAAATGCTCTTTGAATCCAATTTTCATTACTAACATCTTAGGAGGAATGAAAATTTGAGCTTTATGAAATATTAAAAATAACCCAAGAACATATCAGCCTTAAAATGTAACAGAACGTAACGGAATAATAAGTGATAAACTATTGCGTTTATGTAGAGAAAACAATGAGAAATATGAAAACCAATTGGTTGCTGGATACACACAAGACGTTCACGATTTTTGATCAGATTTAAAATCATAACATACAGTTAATCATCCCTGGGTTGGAGGATGATTTGCTCGGTATAATTGTTGTGTTCTGTGAAAACTCCGCTCGTGACTCTTCTAGGGTTGGGCATGTGGTTAGCACCTCCATCTCATGGAAGAAGGTTTTCTAAAAATATACTAACCAGAATAAGTAAGTTGGACCTTTTAAACTATTTCCTCCGAGTTAAAGAATCTTCATCCAGAAGAATTGTGATACCTCATGGTGAAAGCCAATATTCTTCAAAAGTCACAAGGCCAACCCCCTTATCAAAACCAGAGCAACCATTAATATATGTGTATGGAATGTCCGGAAAATATGGAAGGTCGGGAGAATCAGTGAAATAGTTACCAAAATGAAGGGATACAATTTGGCGGTGCTCGGAATCGTGAAACCCATTGGATCCAAGCTGAACAGAAAATGATAGATTCGAGGGGAGATGCTGCTGTGCTCTGATTACGAAGAAGAAAATGCCTCGTACACTCAGAGAATTGCTCTGATGCCAACCAAATCAGCACGTAAAGTAACTTTAGGAAAAGAATCTCATGGATCCACGATCATCAATGCATCCTTTAAAACAAAGAAGGGGGAAATCACAATGAATGTTATGCACCCATGGATGATATTTATCTACTATTTATTTATTTAAACACATAAAAACTGGTACAAAAAGGCGTCAGATAGATATGCGCCACATAAATCATTTGGTTTGTGTGAGGACTGGGATACTACCCAGGTGCCAAAACCGAAGCAGATAGTTTTCTTACGGGACCATACTCCGAGCCTTTGACCTAAACGTCTGATCCACAAGGCGATGAAGCAACGTTAGGAGATGTAGGTCCATGGCAGTCGGTGACCAACGATTGGTTCGTACGCCATTTGTTCCTTTAGGACCCTGGAGCTCATATGTACCATTGGTTTGGAATCAGGGTTTTCCAACTTACCTATGTGGACCCTCCGTGTTCACCAATTCAGTTAAAGTGTTAGACATTCGCTCTTCGTCCTTTCAATTCCGTATACAACACCCGTGGTGCGAGAAGGTAGTGAGTAGGACTTCTCTGATAGTTGTTGTATATATATGGCCATGTGAGAACATTTCGAGATAGAGGGGGCGGGCCCTCCCCACTCTCGGCCGTACCAGAGCATTTGGGGGCACCAATAACAGCAATGACGACGATAAAGATCAGTTTTGCGAGAGGCTACAATCAGTCATATCGAAGTGACCAGGAAACGACCTGAACGCTCAAGTTGGAATGGACAACACAGGATATCATGGGACATTACGGACTAACTGGGAGAAAGAAACAAGAATGGTGACAGATTTGTAGATTTATGTTCACTCAACATAATCATAAGGAATGGATCTCCATAGAAACCCTGGACAATGTTCAAGAAAGGAAGAACAAAAAATAACAATTAACAGCAGTTGGACAAGAGCAGAGAAAGTCAAGTCAGAATATGAATAAACAGGAGTAAACAGTCAAGTGAACAGCAGCATTAGAGCCGACAAGTAAAAATACGTGAAAGACCTAGCAACGACAGTTGGATGTACTGCGAGAGGAGTAACCACTAAACAACTATATGTCACAACGAAAAAAATGGCCTATAATGCTTGTGACTTAAGGCTATATCGAGTCCATATGCACAGTAAGGACGTATACCAATAAGAGACAGGTCAATTACAGTCCTAAACATCAATGGGAAGATACAAGTAAAACAGTACAAAGTGAATTTATAACTTCACCCCATTACACAAGCAAGTGGATATCAGGACTCAGTGGGTAAGTGGATAACGCGATGGTGTTTGAAGCGAACGATACTGCGTTCGAGGCCCGAAGTGGCCGTCAACTCTGAGATGCAGATACATCTAGCTGACGAGTCCTAAATAGGATGAAATGCATGTCATGGATTCCGCTGCTAGCAACTATCCATGTTTACAATGATTTGATTTAGAAGACTTATTTACACTTAACTTTCATATCATTTTTTTCTCTAAAACCTGTTTTTTTTTACAGTTATCAGAAAACTGACGAAAGGTCACGATATGCATCAAATCATCATACTTCATCGGAATTATTCGAGAAGGTATAGTTAATAAATTAGCATAATTCTTTTCTCCTTTCTTTTTAAAATAATTTTTTTACAAGTGATTTTTTCATTAACTAACTAACTACAAACAAATCACATTACTATATGTCTTATAAGCAGATTATTTACCATAAACTAATGCGAACTGAATACTTAAAATTACATCATAGTTAGATATGGATGTGTGACTTAGTGGCTAAAGAATTTGATATCCGACGAATTAAAGATCAATTCATATACTTTTCTATTCATTGCAATCTATGAAGCTGGATCCCATCACTTGTGACCCATAACCGTTCACTTCAATGTTTTCACATATTGACTCTCTTGTACTTATGTGAAAGTGCGTATGAACAAATACCTTTGTCTTTGTGGGAACGAAATATTGCAAACTAGACTCATCGAATGTAAAATTTAATAAGTATGAGTGGTAATTTATCATGATATGTAATGCTTTATACAAGCAGCAACGGTAATTCCCCCCTATAATTAAACTACTTTTCATCTTAGTATCGAAGTAAAAGAAACGCTGACGATATAAAACCTAATAATTTTTATTATGAAGGCAATTAAGTTATTGTCAAACATAATAAATGTTCTGCTACATAATTAATTGCTAATCACTAAGAAGTTACAGTAAATTCAATTGGTGGTTAGAGGTAGTTAAGAGGAAACTCTTCATAACTAAGGTTTCTTGTTAGTTGATTTATGTCAAAAACGTGTACCTATAATGCTGAAGGAAATAACTCTCCCCTTAGGATTCGCGTAACTTGTCGCATAACTTTACAGTTTAAAATGTTAATATTGCGAAATTCAGGTTCTGATTGACTTCCTGTAAGACTGAAATAGTTACAAGTGATTTTCCGGGAATTAGTGGTCAATGTCACATTCATCTAGTCCGGTAGTGCTAACCAAAATCTCTCGATCATGGTTAGTGAGAGATATTTGTTAATAAACACCTCAAAAGTCTTCGCGTCAACACTCACCTAATATGCCGTGTCAAAATGTCATAAACTCCTGCTAAACTTGACAAAAAGAAATTATACCTAACGGTTCAGCATATAAGTTAGTATTTAAGGTAAAACTAAATAGATTCGCTTTCTAATATCTTATATCTAATAATTATGAGATGTTTCATCTCAAGAATAGTTTTAACTTTCGTATAGCTAGGGCTTCATAAAGCCCTTGTTAATCCTGGACAACCTGTATAGAAAACCAAAAGGGGGAAGGTTAATATCAATCCCATAATTTATCATACCGATCTATAATTTTCTACACACACACACACATGTACGCTGGTCAGTATAATGGAATACAATATAGTCATTTACATGGATTTCTTTACTATATTACACATCTTACTAATAATCGATTTAAGCTTTTACTTTAACACAAGGCTATTTGATTCACTTTTAAATGTTAGGATTATGTAAACAGGCGTTCAAAGATGCTTTAAGCAGTTAAAGTTTCTTATCAAGAATAGCTTTACCAAATAACCAATAATGTTAACTTATAATACTTCATACTTATTATTCCTTAATTATCAGTTTTTTAGGGGTTGTGGAGATTGTTTAATTTTTTATTGAGATCATGAACCGATCGTTGTTAGACCACCATTAAAAACCTGGAAGCACCGGACAACCGTTTCTTCTTATTTTCAGACTTCTCAGCAGTGCACATCCACGATCCCGCTCACGGGATTCAAACGCAGGGCCTTCAGTCTCGCATATGAACGCTTAACCTGCTGGACCAGTGAGCCAGACGGTATCCAATGGTTTTAATGTCCAACATCAGCCAATCCAGGAAATTGCCCGATCATCTCCCATTGTATTGAGATAGATACTTGTCTCTACCCGACACGGATTAGCTTCACTGGCCATTATCAGGAACTTAATTTCTTTTTATTTACAAAATCGAATAATCTCAATTAAAGTATCTGTTGACAACTTGAAATCACTAGATAAATATTTACTATCAGTAATGCACCAAAACAAACACGTTAGATACAATACACGGAACATTTAATTCCCATGGCTAATATGTTGTTTTCAAATCATTGAGTTAAGCTTCCATTGCTTCTTTATAATAAGTCTTGTGGATTGAACGCTATATTCGTCTCCTAAGCTATTCGGTAACCCCCAAGCTAGAACTATACAGCGACCTGAACACGAGAGAGAAGACTCAAAGTATGCGAGAAGTAGTTTACTCCAAGGTTCATTTCAATACAGAAAATACAAGATTTTTATAATATTTTAAATGTCTTTGGGTTGCTAGAAGATTCTGGAAATGCTACTAAACATAGTAGCTGTGTAGCAGCCAACCAATCGGAGCCTCTGCATGAGACGATTCGCTTCCTTAATATTTTTGGCAAAAACTTCAACTGAACACTGATTGGATGAAACGCTTCTTAGTGTTTCCTGATGCTTGCTTGTCTTTTGCAAGCAATTTTTTGGATCACCCCAACACTTTATTTCAATATCAGTCAATGTAATTTATAAATAAAACTAGTTTTATAGTTAAATAAGGTTAAATTATATCACAATCAAAACATTGAAATTTAATTTTTTTTCTGGTTAGCGTTTTTTCTTTTTGACGAGTTAGTTTTCTACAGGATAGGATCGCTAACCGAATGCCCAACCCTCTTCATTTATCCGGGCTTGGGATCAGACATTAGCCCTAGAGGGTCTCCAAGTGGAGTTTAAAATTTAATTATTGAATAATTATTGAGGCAAAAGATAGTTTTAATTTATAGTCATGCTTTTAATATATGTCAAATGATCGATCAAATAATTAGATTGGATTATTTTCTTGGTGAAATCGAATTTAAAACAATGTTGACTAAAAGAATTATCAATAATCCTGAATAGATGGATTTAACTAATGAGAATTATAAGGTATTGAATAACTATTTTATTTTAATCTAAGATTTCTTATCGATACATATTTAAAGTTTCAATAAGAATTCAATCTGAAACTTTTAAGTTCAATGATTCACATTAATAGTCCTTTCTTACACTAGTAATAGTTTATTTACATTGGCAATACTAAATCTATTCTAGATAGAATCATATTTCATCAGTCATTAGCTTTCAATTGAATTCAAGAAATTTACTTGGAAATGAATCATTTATTTGATTATGTGCAAAAATCGATTTAGTTTTAGTGAATTCTTTTTTTGTCATGAATAAGAATTATGTAATATTTCAATTGGAACGATGATTTAATAGTTGAATTTATAAGTCGATTAAAGTTAGATCACTATGGGAACCTAAAATCACTAAACGGCTATTTCGTCTTATTATAAAACTCTTCAACAATGTGCATTTATGATCCAACCTTGCATGATTCGAACTCAGGATCTATTGGATTATATTTATTATCTTTTATCTATTTAAAATCATCTAACAATTATAATATCAATATAAGAATTCAATTCAATCATTTGTAGATCTTTTTTCTTAAAATGAACACACACACACAAAAAAAAAGAAACTTGATTGTACTTTTCTATTCGTTAAATTCTATCTATCATAATTATCACCTGTGTTGAAAGAGAAACTGATCAGTTATTAATTAATTAACATTAGTTTAATTAGTTTGTATATAACAGTTTGGATTGTGTATTTTATTCGTAGTATCCATTTGAGTTGGTTCTTATTTTTTTTTGCATTTTGACCTTATGAATTATTTTATAAAAGTGCATAAAAGCATAGATAGTCTATACTTAGATTAATTTAGTACTCCATAAACAGATATTCAATTACATCTTCTATTGTTGAACTTATAGAAATGAGTCCTAATTAACAAAACAAAAGGTTGTGGAGATTATTAAGTTATTGATTGAGATCTTGAACTGATTGTTGTTAGACCACCATTGAAAACCTGGAAGCACTGGACGGCCGTCTCTTCCTATCGTCAGACTTCTCAGCAGTGCACATCCACGATCCCGCTCACAGGATTCGAACCCAGCGCCTTCAATCTCGAGCTCGAACGCTTAACCTACTGGACCACTGAGCCAGTTGATATCTAGTGGTGTTAGTGCCTAACATCAACCAATCCAAGAAATTGCCTGACCATCTTCCATTGTACTGGGATAGATTCTTGTCTCTACCCGACACGGATTAGCTTCACTGGTCACGGCTTCTCAATAAAACTCCGAGAATTCCCTCACAAAACTAATCTCTAGTGAACACATGATAGTTATCAGTATAGGGGTTGTGCAGATTCATAATCTCAACAATCTTTATACTGATAATTGACTTGAGATTAATTTTCATTCATTGTAATTTTATATTAGAATAAAAGCTACTCACTTGGTATTGTTTGGCTTTTATCTTCCCATTGAGGTTTAAGACTGCGATTGATTAGTCTGTTATTGTGCATACTGTGCGTATGCCTGAGATGCAGGTACATCCAACTGACGAGTCCCAAACAGGTTTCCACTGCTAGCCACTATCCATCATTGCTTACAAAAAACTACTCAGTTGATAAAATTCCTGTATAATTAGATAAATTTTCCATATGAGCTCTTAATAGATAAGTAAATCAATGTATACAATATTCAAGATTAGATTTACATAATCATAACATTTAAATACATGTAACAATGTTTAGTATAAAGAAAGACACTGATATGAATATTCGAAGAATCATTAGCTATAACTTAATTCTCATTATTTTCGTTAACGTCAATCAGTTTGATATATTTTTTTTATTTAAATTTTTCTTCTTTTTTTGCGTTTAGTATTGGAGAAAGCGTCATATACGATTAAAAAGTCAAGTTGGTAGATTATCCGATGGGTTTCGTCGTAATGTCAAAGTTATATAGTAAGTTAGTAGAGATGATATACATATACATATATGTATGTTTATATGTTATTGTGTAGTCTATCTTGACATTTTAAGGTCTTTTATACGATTTACAATTCGTTTTGTATGTTATTAAAAATCCTAAGTATCCCTTTTATTGAAGTCACTGGGTATTGGCTAATGGGGTCTTCTCATTGATGTTTAGGACTGCAATTATTCAGTCTGTTATTGGCATATATACATACTGTGTGGATCGCATCAATATTGTCTTAAGTCACAATCATTATAAGCTAAGATAGATAGTGGCTAATGGTGGAATCCAGGACAGACGTTTGGTCATATTTGGGACTCGTCAGATGGATGTATTTGCATCTCTGAGTTGACGGCCACTTCGAGACTCCAATCCAGTATTGTTCACTTCAAACACCATCGCGTTATCTACTTACCTACTGAGTCCTGATATTCACTTGTTTGTGCAATGGGGTGAAGTTATAAATTCACTTTGTATTGTTTACTTAAATCTTCCCATTGGTGTTTAGGACTGTAATTGATCGGTCTCTTATTGGCATACGTGCATACTGTGCATATGAACTCAAAATAGCCTTAAGTCAAAAGCGTTCTAAGCAATGATGGAAGAATAGTGACCCAGTCACCTAATAATTTAAAATTAAAAACCACAAGGTTCACGTATTGTGTAAAAGTTCCAATATAGGAAAATTATAGTATGAGTAATAAAGTTGAAGATATGTAGTTAACCTTAATGAAAGTTTAAGGTGTATTTATTTGTTAATTATGATAAAAATACTTACTTACTTACTTACTTACTTATGCTTGTTATCCCTCGTCGAGGAGCATAGGTCACCCACCAGCACTCTCCATCCAACCCTGTCCTGGGTAACCTTTTCCAGTTGTCTCCAGTTGATAATCATTTTTTTTTAATATCTGCTTTCGTTTCCCGACCTAGTGTGTTCTTCTCCTCACTAAACCACACACTCATGTAGATACATCCATAATTACCCTTGTGTACATTTAACAAAACACTATCTGCATACGTAAATACATTTCTCCTTTATTTTTCCAGTGTTTATCGTAATGGTGATACATTTACACCAGCTATACGTGTACATTTAAGACCTATACAAGCAATGGATTTCGAATTAATTATGCGTGCAATTGAAGATTGCGTTATTTTACCATATGGAAAAGCTGTTCGAAGGTAAATGAAAAAAAAAGGGAATTTGTTTGATTATTAATGTCAAACTCTATTTTATTTCTTATTTGATTTTAATATTAAACACTTTGTATAGATAAATTTGTGAAGAAAGAGGATGAGGCACAGAGAAAGAGGGAAAAAGAGAGGAGTAAACAAATAATTCATTTTATTCTCTCATTTAAACCCAGGTTGCGTTTTGTTTCAAATCATAGAAAGGATTCAGTTCATAACAAAATGTTTGAAACTAGCATAGATCGTTGATATAGCTTTTCTAGGTTTCCACAAGTTATCATTATTTCCAATATCAGTGTATGTATGTAGAAAGCACAGATCTCCTTCCCTCTGAATATGACATTCGTATGTATGCATATTTTGAGTATATTACTTACTTACTTACTCACTCCAGTAATCCCTAGTAGATCATTGACCACCGACTAGAATTCTCTGATCAACTCTGTCCTGTGTTCTTCTTTCCAATTGTTTCCAAGGATTATTCATTCCTATGATGTCTGCCTCCAATTACTGACCCAGTATGTTCATTAGTCTTTCTCTTTTACTTTGAGTGTATAATTACCGAATAAATCAATTTATTTTGCAAAACTAATAACTGAAACCACTAACAATGTAAATTTCCTTACTGTAAGGAATTCCCAGTACTAATTATGGAATACTACCATAAAAGTTCCTTTAGAATTCACTAAAACTGTAATTATTCAGAAACTATATTTAATTTTCTTTGAATAGTTTATATCTATTAATTAACTTTAGTATCCAAAGTTACTTAACATTTCAGTTGTTATGACAACTTTTCACATTTACCATATATCGAATGCATAAATTTCAGTTAGACCCCAATTGAAAACACTATACATCCGTTCCATCCTAGTATGAAAGTCCTCAACATTTCATTATTGTTTAATAGTTGTACACATTAGTATGTAATTTTTAAATGTTGGTAAGAACATGTATCTGTGTATATATGTCAGTAAGTTACCTACATGAGACCATCATAGTCTATATTCACCCGAAGCAAGCAGTAATAGAGTAAAATAGGTATGTACCAAATCCCATGTTTCATTATAGTCAAGAATGTTAAAAAAAAAGATTAATACCTCCATATCGTGAAAATGATAACAAATTCCCAAATAACATCAGTCTAATGAAGGTTTATGGATAATAGTCAGTTATAACAAAGCTAACTAAATTTTCAATACTTAGGGATAAACCAAACCCCAAACTTTTTTCAAAAAATTTAGAAGTATCATATACTGTGATTTAATCAGATGACATTTTTCCCTTATTTATGTCACATATTATTCAGTAAACAGAATACACCCATTTAGACATTACATTTTTATTTATTTAAACACATAAACATTGGTACAAGGAGGCCCCAAACAGATATGCGTTACATAAATCGAATGATTTATGTGAGAGCTAGGATACTGCCGAGTGCCCAAACCGAAATAGGTAGTTTTCTAAGGGGGCCACATCACAAGTCTTTGACCTAAAGTTCTAATCCACAAGGCAGTGAAGCAACGTCGGGAGATGCAGTCTCACGGTAGTCGTTAACCAACGATTGGTTCATACGCCATTTGTTCCCTCAGGGCACTAGACCCCATGTGCACCATTGGTTTGGAATGAGGGTTTCCCAACTCCCCTAGGTGAACTCTCTGTGTCTACCAACCCAGTTAAATCGCCAGATGTTCGCTTTTTGTTTTCTTAATTTTGCAAACAACACCCCTGGAACGAGACCACAGTAAGTAGGGCTTCTCTTACAGTGGTTGTATGAATGCGGTCATGTGAGAGCATTCGGAGAGAAAGATCTGACTCTCCCCACTCTCCTCGGTACTATGGCATTTGGGGGCAAGATATTAAATAAAAAAGATTGGTTCAACAAAGAGTTATCTTTTCCGCGAATTCGTTCTCAAATCTATAAAATCGCAAATATATATACTTGTTTTTCAAGATGATAGGGACTACAATAATTACAATAATAATGATAATAAACTTCTGTTAGACATGGTGACAGTGAGGTAGCATAAACAAAGGTATTTAAAACTGTTTTAATCATACGCTTCTTCCTTTACAGTTATCTGCTCCTCCCCCACCTTCTCTTTAAACTTTCTGCCCCCAAATGGCTTGTTTCTGTTTCTATGATCCGCCTGATTACATCTAATCTGAATTTCAACATTTTATCTTATCATGCTGAGCCATCCTTTCCGAATGATAATTTCCCTTTCTATCTTTTGATGACTATTCAAGCCATTAACATTTAATCAATTATCGTTGTAATTATTATCATCTTGGAATAATAAGCGTATATATTTGAGATTGTACAGCTCTGAAAAGAGAACTCTTTGCTGAACCAATCTTTCATACATAATATTCAACTGAAAAACTGTAAATAAATACAGTGATCATCTTTTAACTGATACAAATCGAACATATTACATCCTCATATTGTTTATTAATGGTGTACGGATAAAAACAATACACTGAACTTCCAAAACATAAGTGGGAAAGATTCTAACATCCATTACAAATGAATTACAACTTCACACCATTTCACAACCTTGTGGATATCTGGACTCAGTAGCTAAGCGGATAATGCGATGGCGTTTGGAGAGAAAAGTACTGAATTCGAGTCCCTGAGTGAAAATTAACTTTGAGATACATGTACATCCGGATGATGTGTTCCAAATAAGACGGAATGTTCGTCTTAGATTCCACTGACAGCCATCATCTGTCTCTGCTTACGATGTGAACTTTTGTCAATATATTTATGTTACTTATAAGTAGCTAAGCGATTAGTTTACAATATATCGCCTGAACCACATAAAAGTTTACTGGTCTATCGACAAACATGGAATCGAGTTTGTTTTGCTTACATATATGTTCAAGAGTTTCAGTAGACAAAAAATATATGCAAGATATTAATTATAAGATTACTCCTAATATAAGTTTATAGTGTATGTTTTAAATCGATTCGTAACAGGATTTCATGGAATTAAAATAGAGTTTAATAAACTTGTAATATTTCTGCCATTCATATAACTTGGAAGTTTAGACAAGCTTCCAAAAGCAACCAGTGAAAAAATTTGAGACAGAATCATATACTTGAAATAGAATGTTTTCTAACTGTGTGTATTCAGATTTTTTAAATAAACATATTACTATCAACGTTGAATAGCGGCTTACAGTAGAATTCAAGACGATCGTTTCCGGCCATTTGGTACTCATCAGCTGGATGTTGCTTGTATCTCAGTGTCAGTATTCAACTACAACTTAAAATCAATGTCTTTTGCTTCGAGTACCTTGACCGCTATCCACTTAACTGCTGAATACAGATAGTCACTTGCCTGTCCAACACATTATTGACTATCATTTGTAGAAAAAATACATATATTTGGCCATTATATAGCTTTGAGAATGAATTCTTTGAAGAGAGAACTCTGATAAATCAATTTTCTTTATTTTTATGCCTAAATGAATATGGTCCGTCTTCTAGATAAATTTAACATTCTGAAACTTTATCGGTAACGGTTTACTTTTTCTCAATTTTGGTATTCAGAACTGTATGTAATTCTGAGCGGATCGCCCTGGCATAATCATTAAGTTACGTTTTAATATAATTAGATCATAGGTAATAGTGAAGCTTAGAGTACATATTCTGTTTTACTTAAGTTTTCCTAATAATGAAATCTATTATTAATAAAACTGTGTGTTAATCGAAAATCAGAGTTATGTTAATCTGATATGATTGACAGCTAACTAAGTCATAAGAACATCATTAACACTGAGATCTAGACAATATTTGCTTTCGTTTGCTTATTCTTCAATCAATTCATGTTTGTTTTTAGAAATTTAATTTGATTTCATTAAGAGCGGAGAAAATGGTATATGGTTAATATCTCACCTGTGTTTCTAAGGACATTTGATTAATGATTATAAACATGTTGAAAGAATAACATTCGCAATTGATTGATCACTGTCATGTGTGCCAAGTCCTTCTTAGTGCATATTGAATGTTACCGATCAAGTTGCAATGTGACCACTAGTCTAGGTGACTCGACATTGCGTACACTATGTTGAGATAAAATAGCTGTTTGAGGTAGTCAACAGGAAACCCTGAACCTGGATTTCGTGTTATTTGGCATGCGTCAGCAAGGTGTACCTGTAATCTTGAGGGAACTGGTGCTTCCTGACGGATTCGTTCCCGTATCATCCAGCTTCACCGTTGGAGACGTTACCACTGAGCTATTTATTGAGTTCCTGCACTGCAATAATTCTATTAGGAACATGAATACCATTCATAAGGTGAACTTTTTTAATGATTCACTGAATTGTTTACTATTCACATTTTGAAAGATTCAGCAAGTTGAGGAAAATTTCATTACAACATTGTGAAATCAATGTATCGAACAGAATTATTTCAGTGAAACTAAATTTTAACTGCTGTCAAATCCTATTTCATTTGAATTCTATCTAGACAGATGGGTAACTTCACAACACTTCATTTTAAGTATCTAATGAGTGAATATTAAGTAAATATTATCTGTAATTGGTAACTAGATAATGAAAAGAATATCTTAACCAAAACATACTGAAGATGAGTAGTGACTAGCAGTGGAATTCATCACGAGCAATTCATACTACTTAGGGAGTCGTCAACTGGATGTACTCTGAGACTCGAACCCAGTGCCATTCACTTCAGACGCCATCACGTTACCCACTTAGCTACTGAGTCCCGACGGTCATTTACCTGCGCAACGGGTTGAAGTTTAAATTCACTTGGTATTGTTTACTTAAATCTTCCCATTGTTATTCAGGACTGCAATCGATCAGTCTCATTTTGGCATATGTGCATCCTGTATGAATTGCCTCAATATTGCCTTGATTTACAAGCATCATAATTAAGGATGGATAGTGGCTAACAGTAGAATCCATGATGCTCATTTTGTCCTATTCGGGACTCATCAGCTGGATGTACCTGAATCTCAGAGT